TAAATAAAAATTTAAATAAATAAATAAATAAATATATATATATTTTTTTTACATTTATTTTACAGATGCCTAATGGATATCATCTAACTACCTGAAGGAGTGACGGAAGTGAACACTCCTCCGTATCAGCTTCTCAGGATTGTGGGATGCCATATGGGAAAACTCACGGAAAATGTCCAGGTACGTGGTGTCACCTAAAATGGGATCAAACACAGCTAATGTGGACTGCACATATAACTCCTAAAATGCAGCTGTAATGTGAATGGATGCTTTTGTATAAAATCGATATAAAAAGATGGTAAATAGTTCTATGTTAGAAGCTTTATTAATGCAAAAGCAGGGCTCTGAATGCCAAAGTAAGGAGGTCCAGTCTATTACAATAACAGTGTTTTCAGCGAGTTTTAATGCACTTCGGAGATTTAGAGTTAGAATTTAAGGGACAGAAATAGCTCTATAAAGCAACCCTATGAAAATGAGCCTTCTTGTGCCGTATAGGGTCTTTATACTGTCTGGGTAACCATGGTAACAGCTGAAACATTGTTGGGGACAAAGAGTGGGTTTGAACACTTTGCTAAACTGTGTGAATTTCTCATGCTTGATTTAGAATGAGGAGACTGTCCCTGTATTCCCAGGATGGGTACTCATCACTGACTAATGTCTGCACAACAACCATTGAAAGAAAGATAAAAGTTTGAGTTCTGTCACATTCCTCTTTAAATAGAAGCTCTATTGAATTTGATAAACTTACAATGAAAGTCTATAGGAAAACCAGTTGCATTTTGAGTTATTTTACAAGGTAAACTATTTTCTTTTTAACCTAGAATATTCATTTAAAAGCTAGATTTGATTGCAGTTAATGCAACTGAACCGACATCTTTTCAAATAAAAATTAAAAATGCACTGTATATTTGATAATACACTATTTAAAATTTTGGGGGACAGTAAGATATATATTTTTTTTATTTATATTTGTATTCAGCAAGGATGCAGTAAATTGATCAAAGTGATGGTTTTCACAAAAATATTAGGTAACATAACTGTTTTCAACATTGACAATAATAAGAAATGTAAATCAGCATATTATAATGATTTCTGAAGGATCATGTGACACTGAAGACTGGAGTAATGATGGTTTACATCATGAATAAATTACATTTTCAAATATATTCAAATAGCTATTTAATATAGCTATTACTGATTTTTCAGCATTTTTTTAATCAAATAAATGCAGCCTTGCATGAGCATAAGAGACTTTAAAAAACATTAAAAAAAAATGTACCAACCCTCAAACTTTTGAACAGTAGGGTATGTTTGTATTATATATTTAATATACCCTCATGTTCTGGGGTTTGATTCAGTCAGAGGAACATTTTAACCAAAATGAATATTAGTATTTTAAATGTAGAGTATCAGAGTCTCTACGATCCCAAACACAAGAACAGAATTTGACGGTTAAAAAAATCTTCATATTAGATCTCAATAAAAAAAACGGAATTTACTTACAGCAGCAAAATCAGTAAGTTGAGTTAATGCAGCTGGTTATATAATACTGCACACTAACACAGCAAAGCACTACGGAGAAGAAAGAGGCAGGAGAAGTGAAGCACAAGCAGTTAGTACTTCAGTCACGTTTCATTTATTGTCATGATTCTTTTCCGTTTAGGAGGAGAGAACAGATAAAAGGGCAGAAACGAAGAGCAAAAAAAAAAAAAAACAGAAGTTGCAGAGGTTCTAATTTACAGAAGAATGTTCAGTTATACAATATTCAGACATATTTGACAAACGACACCGACATGAAAAGAAAAGCAGAAATATGAAAGCAAGCAATAAAAGAGGTTATGTGCTACAGCCACCATCTAGTACATATCTGGTTATACAGTATATATTTTTTCAATATTGGTGCCCCTTTGGCTGCATCGTTCACAAAATTTAATTTGTTTGTCACTTCGGG